AAGTTCATGGATAGTAGATTATTTTGTGCTTGTGTGTCCCCTGTTTCCTAAAGGCACAAAATGACTTCGTATGCAATTCCCAGAGTTGCCCAAGAACAGGAAATTGATTGTTAAACCACCACAGGAATTGTAGGTCTGTGAGAGGAATAGGGGTCTCCTAACAACTTTCAGCTCTCTTAACAAGCTACAATTCTCAGGATTCTTTTGAACCACAATGGCAGTTAATGTGGTCTCATAGTGCTTTAAGTGCTTACTGCGGATGCGGCCTTAAATGCAACCATTCTCCCCTAAGCACAAGAAACTTGTTCTTGGGATCTCATCCAGGTTCAGGGCAGCTTTATTACTGTATGGCAAAGGGGTTGGTCAGTAACTGAGTAGTATGAAAAAGGAATACTGCTCTACCGTTTCTGCAGGTCATACTGCGCACAATAGGCATTAATGGTGCAAACATTCCAGTCCTCTATTCAAAGATATGTGATAATCAGGGAAGAATGATGCCACTTAATGCATATGTGCTCGACTTCTATAAACATGGATCTCTGACAGCAATGGAACAGGATAACAGGTGCGTGCTTTCTTTCTTTCATTATTTATTACTTATATTTCTATACCACACTTCATCTGAGGGTGGTTTAACATATAAAAACACAAAAATGCATTACATAGTAACAAACAAGAACAGTACCCACGCCCCCAAGTTTAAAAGGCCATAGATGGTTCAATTAGCCAAAAGCCTATGAGAAGAGTGAGGAAATTTCACCCCTCCCATTGCAAGAATCTGCTGATTTTCCAGAGAGGAGGGGGCGGATTGTGCTTGCTACTTACTCTGCTCCGGCCTCACTTCAAAGGGGGAGACTGAGTGTTATCTCTGTGTAGATAAGGTCGCTGCAGAAAGCAGCTGTAACACTCAGTGCAGTCCAGCGTCTCCATTTGTATATAGTTTGTATAGTACAGTAGCTGTAGTGAATAAAAGAAGATATTCTTCAGCGCTGTCGTCCGAGTGATTTATGCTTTGCTGTACTCTGCTGTGCAACGACTGTCTACTGGAAGTGAGTTCGGTGCTCACAGCTCTGAGTTGTGAGTCCATAGCACTTAGACCTGGTCCTGCAGAAGAAGGTCTCTGGAAGTGCTACCCCAGCTCGCCTGGCCCAGTCGGGGCTGAAGTGGTTGAGCTCAGTCGGTGGCACTGGCTCAAAGGCGAAGCTGACAGAGAGGAATGTTTTTCCTGGTGCTTAAAGATATGTAGTTAAAGCGAACCTGTGGAGAGCATTCCACAAGTGGGGAGCCACCACAGAAAAGCCCCCTTCTCATGTTGCTGTCCTACAAACCTCTCAGGGAGAAATGTTTTGAGAAACGGCAAGTAAGAGGTGTCACGGTACAGTAGATATTTATAAAATTAAGCATGGCATGGAGAAAGTGAATACAGAAAAGTTTCTCTCCCTTTCTCATAACGTTAGAATTCGTGGACATCCAACGAAGCTGAATGTGGGAAGGTTCAGGACAGATAAAATACTTCTTCACACACTGCATAGCTAAATTGTAGAACTCACACGCAACAGGAGGAAGTGATCGCCACCAGCTTGGATGGCTTTAAAAGAGAATCAGACGAATTCTAGGAGCAAGGCTATCAAGAACAAGAAAAGTACATGAAATATACAACTCTGCTAACCTACTTTTCCTTCCAATTTTAGTATACACGAAGGAGAAGCCTATGCTTGTTTGAAAGACTTTGGCCTTGTTCTTCGAGTCATCAGGTATGCCAACGGTTTTCAACCAGTGTGCCTAGACACCCTGGGGTGCCTTGAGTGATAGTCAGAGGTGCTGCAGGAAACACCGGCCTCTGTCCCTCTTTCTTTCCCTCCCTCCTCTGATGCCTTCTCGCGTCTCTGCCTCCCAAAGGCTTGCAGAGCTGCTTGTTGCAGCAGCCCTGGCTACAAGTGCCGCAGGTGAATGGTGCCTCTGGGGCTGGCCAGGGGGTGCTTCCAAGGCCCCTATGGGCAGTGGGAGGAGGCACCTCTCTTTGGGGGCAGGGGAGGCAGCTGCTGCCTCCCAGAGGACTCCCAAGGAGAGGGAAGAGGCTGAGGGAACACTCCACAAGCGAGAGTGTTTGAAAAGGGGTGAGGGGTTTCCAGCTCTGCAGGTAAGGGGTGAGATAACTGGGCTCCTGAGCCCCACAAGAGTGCCACAGAAAGAATGTAGTTGGTCAAGGGAGCCGTGGACCCAAAAAGGTTGAAAACCTCTTGAGGTATGCAATGAAGTATTGCTTGTTTACTCTTGTTCTTTAGAACAATTTAACAGAGGTCAGTAGACTGGTGCCTATCATACCTGGGTTAGCACCAGAAGAGGGGGCAGGGGCCAAACAAGGCACTTCCCCCCCTTCCCCCCCCCTTGCTGGACTGCTGACATTAACATATGCAGTGGTACCTCAGGTTACATATCCTTAAGGTTACAGACTCTGCTAACCCAGAAATAGTACCTTGGGTTAAGAACTTTGCTTCAGGATGAGAACAGAAATCGTGCTCTGGCGGTGCAGCAGCAGCAGGAGGCCCCATTAACTAAAGTGGTGCTTCAGGTTAAAAACAGTTTCAGGTTAAGAACGGACCTCCAGAACGAATTAAGTACTTAACCTGAGGTATCACTGTACTGTTATATATTTTTCTGAGATCTTAACACATGAGGTACAACTTGACAAAAATATACTTTGCTCTTTCTGTACCCCATCCCCAAATTTACCTGCGTGATGCCTCCACTGTTACCATGGGTGTAGAGGTTAGTCTGGGTGACTCAAACATATCATAGTCCAACCAGTTTTCACATAGTAAATGAACACCAGTGGGTGTTGTCACCTCCATTTCCATCTTTACATCTAAGGTGTGAATGTTGTTCATGGGGATTTGCTAGCAGTGATGAATCCAAATAACAAAAACTTGCAATATTTGACCTGGGCTTTGCAGCCACTCCTCTTCTGTATCATCCTTAACATGGTTTGAACGCTTTGAACATGGCTTGGACATCAAGAGTGAGATCTCAGAGGCAACAAAAACAAAAGTATTTTTTGTTTTAGATAGATGCTTAATTCAGGTAAACCATAAAGAAACACAAGACTGGTCCAATCATGTAGCAGGACCAAGAAGCCCCATGGGAGGAATCAAGGAAGGCCAGAACTGATAGCTGAATGGTGCACGAATACTTTTCAAAATATTGCGCCTAGCAGGGGGGTGGATGGTTTTGTGTGGGCTCTACTTCAGGCACAAAAATGTTACAAAATACAACAAAGCAGTTTTCAGGGTTGAAGGTGTATAACACCCCCTCCTCCTCACAAAAACATTTAATTTACTTCTGCTTCTCTTTTCCAGTGTCTCTTTGCGTGAACTTTGCGACAAAGAGGATGATAACGTCGTGTGCGCCTTTGAACAATTAAGTCGGAACTACTGGTCGAAACTGGGTGTGGTGTAAATGGAATAACGCCTGCACCAAAAATATGGTGCTTTGTAAGAAGGGATAACAGTTCACAGTTGTATCAAATAGACACCAGTGATTGGTTGAATGGATATGTAGTATCTGTTTGATTAGGGCTGCTGCCTTAATGTGAATATTTAATTTTAAAGATTTTAGAAGGATCTGGTATGGAAGAGGGAGCAGCAACAAAATGTGGCTGCGGGGAGTACTCCTGTTCAGGGTCCCAGCCAGCCATGCCTTCTTCATGGGCACTATACACCCTTCTCCCTTGTCTTCTGTCTCTCCCTCACACCCCTCTTCAAGTATCTTCTGTGGTCTACAGCCACTTAGCAAGTTCAGCCTTCATTAGGGTGTTTTGTCCCACCCCCTCTGGGTTGCCTTTCAGTTTGCCCATAATATATAGGACCATTTTAGAGTTTTTGTTAGAGTACTCAGCTAGTATAAAGTGAAGGGGACAGCTTTTTTATTTAACAGAAGGCACCAGACAGCTTGTACTGTGGACAGGGCCATCTTCTGACCCCTCTCAAAAGTTCTAACTCCCCAGTAGAGTTTCTCTCCTTGTTCTATGCTTCCTCAGAGGTTACTGTAAAATGCCTTTTTTGGGAGTGGGGAGCTTCTCCATCTGTTCTACAAATGCTTTTCTGCTATGTTCAAATAGCTGGGGGGAAATGTCAAATAAGTCAGCATGCCTAACTATTTGTTTAAATGACAACACAGGGAAGGGTAATTGAAGACACACCTCTTTACCATGGCTTTTAACAGCTGGTATATAGATTAGATATAGATATAGATGATATAGATATATATTTGGGACACATTATATGTTTTTAACTTTGTGTTGTAATTATTGTAACCTACTCTGACACCTTATGGTGAAAGGAAGCTAGCTAGCTAGCTAGCTAAATAAATAAAGCTTTTTTTTCGTTCTTGGGGTTTTGTTTTTGCCTGTTTGTATAGAATTAAGGATTTTAAATCCTAACAAGTAAGTAAACAAACAACAAAGTAAACTCCCTTTGTTGAGTTTCCCCAACCCTCCTGATCTGGAATTCAGGAAGGATATGGAAAACTCCCCAAATTATACAATGTGTGGTACAATTCTGGGAGATATAAGCAGGATCATGGCTTTGTTGAAGCATGAATTTATGGAGCTTATTAAGAATAAATACTGCCAATATATAGTGAACAGATGAAAAAGATTTTGCTGCCCTAATATTAACAAGTCTGGTTTATCTTTGTGTGCGTGAGAAGCAAAACAAGAATTGTCCAGCAATGACATGTTGTGATTCTTAGGCTGCAATCCTTTGCACATATTCTCATTGAACACAGTGGGACTTCTGAATAAACAGGTATAGGTTTGTCCTGCCATGCTGTTGTTGATAATGGAATGAGTTTGGAGTTAGTCTAAATGGTGTTGGCGGCTCTCTTTTCCAATCATGTGATTCTGAACGCTGTGAGATTGATTATTGCAGAAAAGGGGACTGTCATAGTGGTCAGACCAACTTGCTTGCTAAATCAATAGCCTCGCCTGCTCTGTTAAGTATCTGCTTTGTACTATCAATTCTTTATTGATTAAAAAATGTGCATGCCTATACAAACATTATGTACTATCCCTTAGCAGGTAAAAAAAAGAAAAGAAAATTATATAAAATAGAAAATTTATAAAGAAAAAAATTTAAAGAAGTAACAAAGATAAGAAACAAAGAAATCAATTTTTTAAAAAAAGAGAGAGAAAGTTATTTACATAGTAAAAGTACTCATCAGCACAATCCTTCCCATCCTTCTCATTATACTGTTTGATATAATATTCTTTTTTACACAGGTTTACATTGTATAATATTATTTCTTTCTGCTTTGTATACATTCATTTGATCTTTTTCTTTACAAATATCACTCAATTTCTGCTAATATGGAGTTATTTGTACAATAAAGTTTACATAATTCTTAAATATTATCCATTCGCTAGTTGTTTTTTTGTTTCTGTCAGTTTTGCTAATTGTAGTATTCTAACATGAGTATCTGCCAATCTGTAATCTCTGGGAGCGTTTCATTCATCCAGTTCCTTGCTATAAGGGTTCTAGCTGCTGTAATACCATACATAAACAATGTTCTTATATCTTTTTAAATTTCTGGTGGTAGTATACAAAGTAGGAAAATCTCTGGGGTTTTTTTTTTAAGGTGATTTTAAACAGTTTCTTAAACTCGTTTTTAATATCATTCCAGTATTTGCCAATGGCTACATATGTCCCCTAGGGGACGCGGGTGGCGCTGTGGGTTAAACCACAGAGCCTAGGACTTGCCGATCAGAAGGTCGGCGGTTCGAATCCCCATGACGGGGTGAGCTCCCGTTGCTCAGTCCCTGCTCCTGCCAACCTAGCAGTTCGAAAGCACATCAAAGTGCAGGTAGGTAAATAGGTACCGCTCCAGCGGGAAGGTAAAAGGCATTTCCGTGCACTGCTCTGGTTCGCCAGAAGCGGCTTAGTCATGCTGGCCATATGACCCAGAAGCTGTATGCTGGCTCCCTCGGCCTATAAAGCAAGATGAGTGCCGCAACCCCAGAGTCGGTCACGACTGGACCTAATGGTCAGGGGTCCCTTTACCTTTACACATGTCCCCCACATATGATAGTATGACCCCCTCCTCTTTTTTGCATCTCCAACAGGTTGATGTTTTCCCTTTATACATTTTAGCAAGCTTTTTGGGAGTAAGATGCCATCTATATACCATTTTCATGGTGTTTTCCCTGAGATTATAGCATGCTGTCAATTTAATGTCTGTTGCCCATAATCTCTCCCGGTGCTCCATAAGTATCTGCTTTGTAATGTAAATTAGGGCAATGGGGTGCACAGAAACAAATGGCTGTAGAGTGTAGACCCTCCTGGAAGGTAAGCAGGAGAGACGTTTGTGTCTGAAAGAGAACAAAGGACAGTCCGTCTTGGGATTGGGGCAAAAAAAAGATGCCTGACTTTCCCTATACTTGATCCAGAGCTATGTCATTGAAGAGCCTCCCTAAAAAATGAATGTGGGAGAGCAGGATTTGTGGGAGTATTAATGCTTGAGCCTCGAGTAACCTTCATTCCAAAGAAACCAAACCCAAGTTATATGCTGCAATCCCTGAGATTTCTCATGGCTTGGAGACTGGGACGTACTTAACAGTATGAAACACATTTGGATGGAAAGGAATCACATGGATTTTATTAGAGTCTACTTTGAAGTAAGTTTGTAAAATGCAATATGTTAATAGCAAAGTATTCATTCTTTAAAAAAATCTGGTATGTGAAAATCTATATTTGTTCAAAACAAATTTAGAAAAGAATAGGCATTGAACTGATCACACTGGGAAGTATATTAGTACACAGAGAAATAATGAGGACAGCTTGAATCTCTTATTATTTGAAAGCATTTCCATCCCTAAACTTTTTCGTTTTTAACATAGTTTTCTTCCTTCTAATAATCTTCAGCATCACCTGCACAGATGGCAAGTAAAGCACTCTCATAATGTCCAGAGGAAAAATGCTGCAAGATAAATAAATATTCGTTAAAGATGACACATTTTTTTTTAAAAAAATCAGCAACAGCAACCCTGTTGCTTTCTGCAAGAACTTAATCACTTTTTAAAGGGCAGAGCTGCTGATAGGAGTTTCTGAACTTGGCATATGTAGGGCAGATATAACCAAGAGGAATGGAGTTTGAGGATAGTCTTCATACACTTGCAGGACAGAGAAGCAAAAGACAGAGGTTATCTTCAGTTGCTGCTGTGCCTGTTCTTTCCCAGTGAAACTCCTGTTTGGCTTAGCAGTGCCATATGCAGGTTGAGGAAGTACAGTAGCAACACGGGAGGGTGTTTCCAGACTGGTTATTTTGGGTTTGGATTCAATCTCATACCAGCAAATTCATGCTGTGCAATTGTAGTTCATTGGCAGGTCTTATGCAACAAACCTGCTTCCTCAAAAGATTGGACTTTTGTGATACGGAAATTGATGGGAATATACTTCAGAAATTGGGGGACAACACTTTCTTAGACAACAAACAACAAACAAGTCAGACTAAGAGCTCATCAAATAGCCAACAAACTTAATAAACAGGTCACTTGGAAGTGCCTTGAGTGTGCATGATTCCATCTTGCCGCCAGTCTTACGGTATTTCATCCCTGCCTCCTGCCTCCATTGTTTTCACTTGGCCATCCAGAAGGATAGACCAACCATTGTTGTTATTTGTAGTTGGTTTATATTTGGGCCCTAGAATGAAGGCCAGGTTATGAATTCGCCTCCTCCACCTAATACAACAAACACCACCATTTGAAGGCAGACCCACAAAAAACCCCCACAATCTACGGTGTTTCACAACATTCTAGGACAGGTTCTTAGCCCATCCTGGTACATTGTATTTGCTCTGTCTGTCTGAAAAGTGGCATGGGTAGATGAATAAACACTATGCGTAATTGGAACTTCGTTTTTGCCAGGGATCATTATCATTTAACTACTTCTTGTCTCTGTCATAGTTTCTGTGCCAAAAGGCTTTGCTATGCATATGGTTCATACTTGCAATTCAGTGGGTTTTTGGGGGACTGATTGCAAAGTTTGGGGCCATAGTCTCTGATCTACTTTGAGGGAATCTTCTGTATACTCCTCAGCTAACTTGAGATCTTGAATAAGATAACTAATTGAACATACTGGATAAGGTCAAAGAATTGCTACTTGTTGCATTCTAAAGGTGGAATCTCTAATATCACTTGGGGTGTCTAGCAGTGTGTTCTTGGATTTCTCCTGGTGTAAAATTGGTTGCACTGAGTAAAATAAAATATATTAAACTATATTTTGAAGAAACACTATATTTTGATGAAATATAGTTTAATATCACAAATAAGGAGTACAGTGGTACCTTGGGTTACATACAGTACGCTTCATGTTACATATGCTTCAGGTTATAGACTCCGCTAACCCAGAAATATTACCTCGGGTTAAGTACTTTGCTTCAGAATGAGAACAGAAATCGGGCGGCTGCGGCACAGCGGCAGAAGGAGGCGCCATTAGCTAAAGTGGTGCTTCAGGTTAAGAACAGTTTCAGGTTAAGAACAGACCTCCAGAACGAATTAAGTACTTAACCTGAGGTACCACTGTACACTGTGTTGTGCTTTGGAGTAACAGCATTGCTTTCAATGTTTTTGGTGTTTTGTTTTATTTATGGAAATGACACCAACTGCATTAAGTTAAGCAGACAGTGAGCCTGTTTTGGCCTCCAAGAAGATCAGGGCAAGTATGACATACAGTAAGAACAAGGGCAGTACCACTGGACATGCAGAAATTGTAAGCATGGTGCAAATAGTTAAGAGGAACAGGATTTAATCTGTTAAGAAACAAGAAGTTGGTTGGTCCATTCAGAAGCAATTACTTTCTGCGTTCTTGATATCTGAGGATACGCATGGATGTCTAAAACGATTGCTGTTTTTTATCTTAATGTCTAAATTATTACAGTCAACCCAAACATACTTACTTTGATATCATGGAACAGTGATTTTCCATATCTCTCTTTATAACGTTGTCTTATGTTCAGCAGGTCTATTTCACTTCTGGCAACCAGTATCCGTATAACTGTTTTGTTATGGAATCCTAACTCCTGAAAGGGGACAGGAGACATTTGACTGTTTTAGATGTCTGTTTTTTTATATATAGCACTGAAACAGGTTAACTTTTTGTCTTAGATGATAAATTAGGATGAATGGTCATGGAATACAGCTGTAAGAAATACTGAGAGTAATAAATTTTTACTGTACAGACTGTGCTGCACTCTGCATAAAAGGTAAAGGTAAAGGGACCCCTGACCATTAGGTCCAGTTGTGGCTGACTCTGGGGTTGTGGCGCTCATCTCACTTTATTGGCCAAGGGAGCCGGTGTACAGCTTCCGGGTCATGTGGCCAGCAGGACTAAGCCACTTCTGGCAAACCAGAGCAGCGCACAGAAACATACTAAGGGGTTAAAGAAAAGGAGAATTATGAATCTCTCTCTCTCTCGCTCTCGCGCTCTCTCTCTCTCTCTCTCTCTCTCTCTCTCTCTCCTCAGTACAAACTTATGTATGTCTACTCAGTAAATCCCACAGAGTTCAATGGATTTTATTTCCAAGTAAGTGTGTATAGAATTACAGGCTAAGTTGCATTTTTTTATTTATTTTGCTTTGGGACAATGAGACTTTCAAGAAAATGTGGGTTTATAATAGTAGTAAATCCCTGAGTAACTGCTGAATGATTTTTGTTGATACTACAGTAATTGCCTATTTGTTTAGTTAGTACAACCAACAACTTAAATCAGCCCATATAAGGAGTACCCAGATACTTGACCAGAAAAACATGAGGCTTATGGAACAATGGTGACATCTAGAGGATACAGTATTCTGAACTGCACTTAGCTGGCCAGTATGTCTTTCCCATATGGCAAGATAAATTTGCCAGTTATCTATGAAGGGGCTTTTTTCCCCAAGAGGAAGCAGTGATAAGGGAACAAAATAACTATTTGCAGGTTTGATTTTTATGATGAAGAGCTTAGAAAAATCTTGCACACTGTTAATTTTTTACAGGGAAACCTTTGTAATATACTAACGTATGCACAGTTATATTGTGTCAGATACCTCTGAAATTGCAATTGGCTAGTGTATATGCATTTGCAAGTTCTTTTTAATATGGTCCAAAATGACATTTATTTGCTGCACCATTGAGCATATGAACACAGAATATCTGTACTAATGTGACTATTGGATACTGGTACATGAATTGCAGGTACATTTATGAACTGAGAAAATCCTTCAAAATCTGTGTCACGGGTCCTCTCCTGCCCTTCAAGGACTATGCCTGAAAAATACTTTATAGGCTCCAGTTGTCTCCTCATTACTCCACATTCTAATGCATGGGCTAAGCACTTTAAACAATGCTATAGTAGAAGTTATCTGAGAAGTCTCTCAAGCATGGGAGTGTATGAGTCAGACTTACTCTGCAATTTACTTTAATTGGGATACAGCTGTAACTTCTCACCATTGTACTTTTCCTGCCCATCCTTTGCAGGGTGTGTGTGCAAATGTTAACAGCTCACTTGAAGATCTAACTGGAGCAGTAAACTGGAGAAGAGGAGAACAGCAACTTTGAATTTGGAAATATATGCAAATTGCTGCCTTGTTGGCATTTTAAAATGCCTTTCGGCATCTGTGGCCCATAGATCTCAGGAAGGCACAAGGAATCTGGCCATGAAGCGCACCTAGTTTTTTTCTGAGCAAGTCACTGTCTCTTATTATAACCTATTACAAAGGGTATTTGTGAGGATACACGTGTGTGCGGTATATTGTAATCCACCTTGAGCATTTATTTAGGGAATTTGTTTAGGGAAGTTTTTAATGTTTAATGCTGTATCATGTTTTAAATATTCACTTGGGAGCCACCCAGAGTGTGTGGGGTATGTATGTATGTATGTATGTATGAATGAATGAATGAATGAATAAATAAATAAAATAATTGAAAAAATATAGAGGCCTCACTGTTAACATACAAAGTGGTGTAAATGTCCTCCTCCCATGATACTGTGTGAGTGGATGAAACAGTTCATTTTCCCCACCTGTGTGTTCTATTTTTTCAAGAAATTTTCTTCCATCCCATACTGGAAGTGAGTGAGTCAGGGAGAAAATTGCTCATACATTAGATGACAGTGAGTTCAAGTAAGGGAAGGAACAAGGTTTACCTTCCTTCACCCACACACTTCTTTTCGTGGTAAAAACACCAAAATAAACCTTGCTTTATACATGAACACAAAGTACTTGCAGATGCCCCATGGACTGACTTTGTCTTTGTCCCCAAGTGTGTCTCTTTACTACCCAGCTGTCCTCTGGGAGAAAGAGGGACAAACGATACTTTGTGGTCAGTCCTTCTCCCAAAAGGTTCTTGTGCAAATTCCTCAATAATTACTTGAGGAAGCAATGCTTATTCTCAGGAAATTAAATTGAATAGATGTTTAAAAATAAAACAGGTAAATTGAGTTGATCTGCTGGTGGGAAAGGCTCCACCCTGCTCCTTGAAATCTCAAGAAGCAACTCTTCCCAGCCCCACTGATCAACTCTCAAAAGAAAGGGAAAGTTCTTTGGGATGTCTATTCAGAAATTAAATTGGACACTGTTTGGAAGTAAGAGCTTTTTGAAATGATGGGCTGACTTTCCTGCAACAAGGCCCAGTCAGGAGTGAAGTGCTAATTGGCCAATGAAATATGTAGTATTTAGGGTTCTTTGGTGTGTATAGGGGCTTATTATCCTGTTGCCATATGCTGGCACTTTAGCTGTTCTGAATGCAAATGAAGTCTATATAGAAAATAGTGCATCTGACAGTGTCCAGGTTATTTTTCAAACCACAGAGCAGACGATTTATTGCATGATGGCACCTCCTCAATTGTTATTTCAGGTTTGTACACCAGAGGGAGTGTCAGTCCACACTGAATAGCGCCGTTTCAACTGATGGTAAAGATTTGTTTTCAGTTGAAGATGCATACAGAATCACAGAATTGTAGCGTTGGAAGGGACCCCAAGGGTCATTGAGTCCAACCCCTGCAATGAGGGAATCACAACTAAAGAATCTTTGACAGGTGGCTATTCAACCTCTGCTTAAAAATCTCTGGTGGAGAGTCCACCAATTTCTCACACTGGCATTTGTCCACTGGGAGGGCAGTTTAGAGTAGAATCTCATTCTTCTAAGCAATTGGCTATGGAAAATTTCTGATGCAGTCACTTTTTGACACCAGCTCTTCCATCCCTACCAATGTTGCCTTGTTTAAATAGCATGGCCCTTAAGGCTCCTTTAGTCATTACTCATGTGAAGGGCTAAAACTCTGCCTTTAGCACTGCCCCTGTTGTCACCTGGCTCCTTCTACATTCTCACCTATTCAGAGAAATAATCTGCAGCAGGTTCTTCCAGGCTTCTAAGATGTATAACTAGAGAAGGTTCCCCACTTCACGTGTTTACCCTGAGCATATGGGATGCTGGAAAGAACTGCACTTCAATGAGGGTTGGTTAAATGTACGGTCCCATATTCCCAGATGTAAAAAGTACAAAGGTAAAGGACCTCTGGATGGTTAAGTCCAGTCAAGGGTGACTATGGGGTTGTGGTACTCATCTCACTTTCAGGCTGAGGCAGCCGGCATTTGAACACAGACAGCTTTCTGGGTCATGTGGCCAGCATGACTAAACCGCTTCTGGCACAACAGGACACCGTGATGAGTGCTTGAGCATATGGAAATGCTGTTAATCTTCCCGTCCCGGTGGTACCTATTTATCTACTTGCACTGGTGTGCTTTTGAACTGCTACAGTAGGTTGGCAGAAGCTGGGACAGAGTAACGGGAGCTCACCCTGTCTTGTGGATTTGAACTGCTGACCTTCCGATCAGCAAGCCCAAGAGGCTCAGTGGTTTAGACCACAGTGCCACCTGCTCCCAGATGTAACTAACAGGGTTTAAGATTACAATCCTAAGTATTCTTTGGGGAAAGTCATTACTGTTGAAGTGCCATAAATGTTCATAAATGTATGGTGTAGGTGCCATCTATGTCCCACCAAACTTATTTCTGAGTAGAAACATTTAGCATTAGGTTGTAAACCTGGCAGTAATTTGTATCCCGAACCATTTTTGGAAAAGTGTTGTTGGGTTGCATTTGCATTTGTCACTACAAGGTGGATTGTTTGGGATTTGTGATTGACATGATTGTGATTATGAGAAAGCCCTAAAGCTAGGAAGCAGCACTTTAAAACTGAGGATTACAACTCATTTAGAGGAGAATGGGGCCACATACAAACTAAATAATAGCAAAATTGTGTTTCTCAAATTACGCGAATACTCACGTGAATCGCATTGTAAAGTCTATATGCAAAATAGGAAGCTTTGTCTCTGACACACAGAACTGAGGGGGAAATCAGACAACAATGTTACAAACTTAAAAATTGAAACAAATTTGACATTAATAATCATTAGCTGTGTCTTGGGTGGTATGAGCCCATCCATTTCTTTCCACCTTTTGTGGATATGTTTTTCTGACAGTTGGTGGTGAATGGGTTCGAATGGAAGAAACAAACAGAATGAACGCTGATATCTGAAGTGACTTAAAATTCCATAGTTTATAGTTAGCTCTATGACACTCCAGCATCATGAACAGTGTTGGCCTTAAAATGTTTTGTTTTCCAATCTTCTAGTGGGGCTAGCAACATAATTACTCACTAGAAGTTTCAAAGGCTGCAGGCAATTAATTGTCTTTGTGCCATCTATTTCATTAAATATTTTACAGTTCGAAATGGTCTCTTCAGATGTCAACAAGACCAATTCCATAGAAAAGCTGTATTTAAACTGGAGTCTAAAAAGCTTTAACCATTGTCAATAGTTTCACTGAGTGAAGATCTAGACTTCCTGAACGTGGTGCAGGAAATCTGTAGCAATAGCAATAAAACACAAGTACAATTATCTGCTCATTCAGAGTGAGCAGCAATTTTCTCCAGGCGAATAGTAGCTGGTAGGTTAGAGAGCTTATTGCAGTGTTATTTTAAATGAACATAGTGCTTTTCCCAGATTGCATTTCATTTTTTTCATTTTTGTATATGTGGTAATGTATTGCATAAATACAAAATGTGTCACTTTAAGAAAGGGATGATATAAAGGATATTAAAACATAAAAGTAATAGCATAGTATAGTGAAATTTATAAATATTTTGTTACCTATTGCAACCAGTAGTTCCTGAAAGTATCCATCATAACATTGATTAATGGCATCTACTATATCTTGTCCAGAGATATTCTGAAACTCCTGGAAAACTTAAGAAAATATATGGCTGGTGAGGAGTTAGTTTTTTCTCAGTTAATTTTAATAAATGAATTGGAATATTAGGGCTCCAGTTCACCGATAGTTTGAAGATTTTAAAATAAAGATCTAATACAGTATTCAATAATTTGAAAAAAATATTGGCCTCTTTGCCAAGGAATGTGCTTTGACAATCACTACTGCTTAAACTGAGAAAAGAATAATAATAGCCTTCATCTGCCCCCATTGCAACAAAACATGTCTCTTTTGTATCAGTCTCTACAGCCACAGCAGGCACTGCAACCTTCCAACAGTTTGACTTCACCCTGAAAGGCACACTCCTCCACTGTCTCCCAAGACAGACAGATGCCAACAACTAGGCATGTACGCTGTATGTAGCAACTATAGTAGCCATTGCCACTTGCAACTTATTTGGCCAAGGTGAGAACATCAGTATGATAGATTCTACACAGTCTATTCTCTGGCTCTTTTACACAATGGTGTTGTTTCAGATATGTTCCTTCTGTACATGGCTATCAGTTCAGCACAGCAAAAAAGTGTGTGCATTGGGCAATGGACCCATTTGGCATTGTGGTCCATCTAGGTCAGCCCACATATCGGAAGATGTGTTTGGGCATGGGGGGGGGGGGGAAGCTGCTTCATAAGAAAGTAAGAAAAGCTTTGCTGGATCAGGCCAAAGGCCCATCTAGACCACCGGCTTGTTCTCACAATGGCCAACCAGATTCCTTGCAAAGCCTGCAAACAGGACTTGTGCATGACTGGCGTTCAGAGGCAAAGCCCAATTCAACGATGGAGCTAGAACATAGCCATCATGGCTGGCAGCCTTCGATAGCCTTGTCCTCAGTGAAATATGCATTCATATGTATTAATTGGCCTTCAAATGCAATCCGTTTGAATTAAACCAAGTTAGCTGATTTCTGGGAATACTAGCGTTTGGGCATGTCAAGTGCTGTATGACTCTTTCTGTTACAGATTGACATAGTGAAGCCGTGATGAAAAGGAATTACCCATCCACAACTGCTGGTAGCTCTTGTTGCACAGAATCATCTGCAGCATGTTCTTGTGTTCTCCAGTTTTTTGCTGGCAGGCTTCCCATATGACCTAGATCATTAGAAGAACAACAACGGTGAGCTGGAGGCGATTACATCAAACAACTTTTCAAACTAATTTTGAAAATTGTTGGATACCATAGCATCCTGAGCAGCCATAACAGGATCTGCATACCCTTCTTGTCTCGTTCCCTGGAAATAAATAACTTGAAGTGAGAATTTGTGGTGATTATGGTAGTGTGCTACACCCCTTGCCCTGGAAGCCCATTTATCGCTTTAATTTGACATGGAGCTAGTTGTAGCTACTCAGATGAGGGCACTGCACACAGCTTTCAATATTGAACCATGGATACATGCACTCATATAGGCACTCTTACCATCCCCTAAACCTGGTTATTTTAAACACTGTCCACCCTATCTTTCATTTTCATTTTACAGACAACAGCACATCTGATTAAACACCCACCTATGACATGCAAACCATGTTTTAGTGTTACATGAAGCTTTAGTGTTACATTCCCCCCTGCACCCCTCATGCACTCTGATTTCTGCCCCTTACTTAGTACAAGCCATAGTTTCTCATCCAAATTCACAATATCTGGCTAGTGCTTGCCTTTCAAGCCAGAACTGGAATATATATTGAAAGCATAACTTCCATTTTGTGTCTGGAGGTCAAGTGCAAACCATAGTTTACTGATTCAGATGCAATGGCAGACTTTGGCTTACTGTGAATCAGGAAATTACAGAGGGAGTGGGATGGCATCAGTGTGAACTAGACCACAGATACCTTGTGAATATACCATTTGAAATAAGGTGAGTGGTGAGTTCTGCTTCTGCAATTAGAAACAAGAGATTTCACATGGCCAAAGAAGTGTGTATTACAGAGACAGTGTAAGCCACCTTGAGGATCATTAGGACTGACAGGCAGGATAGAAATCTTCTAAATAAATAAAAAATAAGTTGTAGATGAAAATTCAGAAAGAATTCTCCCCTATTCATTCTACAAAAGTTCATTTTAAAAATTCCAATCAACACAGGACAACACAAATATTTTTGCCTTTTTAACCATGCAATTCTTCAAATAATTATGCAAACTATACCTGAGCAAGGTTCATAAGTGTATCCCTAAAGTGTCCAGAGGTCTCAGAATCAATATCTTGAAGAAGGTCACTATCATATTCTAGGAAGAACACAATAAATGCATTTCAACTACGAATGAGTAAAAGCTGATATTTCACATGTCAAAAGATGTCCAATCAATGCCTTTCAAAAGGCTAAAGAATTCTCTACTGGCTAGACTGTAGCCGTGACACAAGGTGCTTAACACTGAAAAGGTAAATAATTTCACTAGGACAAAGAATTCAAGAATAAAAGCAATCCTGCTGCGAGAAGAGCAGTAATGGCAGCTTCGCTTCGCTGAGAAACAACTTGCACAATTACCCCTTGCAAGGTGCATCTGCAGGGTGTGTGTGTGTGTGTGTGTGTGTGTGTGTGTACTTTTGTGTGCATGCACAATTAATTTGTGTGAAATGATGACCAGGCTCTTGTGAGCTGGCTGTGCACTATGGACCATTTCATTGAATCCTTTGGGACACAGAGGTTCTGTTGGAGGGATAGAAGGTTTCTTGGCAAGCAAGTCAATGTGGAAACCCACTGAGCTGCACAACTTGGAGGAAATTAATTTGTCTCTAATATAAGGATATTGGGAACAGGAGATGGACTGGAAGGGTGTGAATATTCTACACCAAGCAGGTAAATAATAATTATCATGATAACTATGCTGCAGAAGAGACTTAGCATAGTAAGCAAAGTATGTTCTCAAACAGCAACTGCAAAAAGAGTCCCTAAAATGACACTGTGTGAAGCATAATATCTTCATTTTATTAATGGGAAATACTGGTTCTCTACATGCTACACCCTGATTAGGAGGCATTCTACAAAGTAAACATAGGAACTCAAAGATACAAAAATATATTCATATAATGTATATGAATTAATTATAACCAAATTTTATGCAATTTTAAAAATTGTTTTTTCTTCCAATGTGGAATAGTATTGAGATCCTGCTCTAATGACATAATAATGCCACCTTTTTACTTAACAAATGATTCGTGGTCTGGTCCTTTCCCACATCTTCAATGAGGGAAATTAGTAGGATAACAAAAAGCTCCTTGTGGCCACAGAATAATTGTGCTGTTTTAGTTATGCTTAGTATTAAACATGGAGTTGAAGAAAAGTTTGGATTTGATATCCCGCTTTATCACTACCCGAAGGAGTCTCAAAGCGGTTAACATTCTCCTTTCCCTTCCTCCCCCACAACAAACACTCTGTGAGGTGAGTGGGGCTGAGAGACTTCAGAGAAGTGTGATTAGCCCAAGGTCACCCAGCAGCTGCATGTGGAGGAGCCAGGATGCGAACCTAGTTCACCAGATTACGAATCTACCGCTCTTAACCACTGCACCACACTGGCTCACGATCATGCCCAATGGTTATCAGAACCCTCATTTTACTGCATATAAATTTTCAGAGAAATAAAGTAGAGCTGTGCATTTTATTTCTAAAACACATCTTAATTAAGGGATGGAGTAAGAAAGGTGTTGCTATTGCACTTTGTTGCCTACGCAAGCCACCCCCTCTCCAAACACCTATTTTTTTAAAGCAAGGAAGAACTGGTTGGTTTGGAAAATAGAGGCATATTTAAAGCTTACATGTGCTACAGGGTGACCGCTTAATCCTATGGTGTTTGCTTGGATGTAAGAACAACTGTATTCACTGAGGCTTACTCCCAAGTAAGTATATATAGGATTGCAGCCTCAAAGTAGTTTAAGAATAATAATGACTCTAGTTTTTCTGGTATGTGTGTATGTGTGGAATCCTGTCAGCACCTCTTCAAAGTACAATTCCCAGGATTTTGAGGGGAAACCAATGACAAAAGTAGCAGGAAGCATGTGGGCTTGTAATATAATTAGGCATTTAGCCTCTTCTAGATTGCAGCTGCAACTGTACATTTTTGCAGGAAACAATGGGGATTATTACGCATTAGGTAGGCCTCCTTCATCTGGAAGATCTCTCCATTTGATCTCGAGGCTAATATGTCAATGAGGCAATTCTCCTCTGTGCCAGCCCCCTATGTCAAAGCAGAAAAAAACATTGCTAGTATAAACAGTGCTTACAAATCCATTTATTTAGAATAAATACAGCATGCCATGTTTTTCCTCAAGTTCTTGTTTTCCTGAGAAGCAGTGATTTGAAAAATCTCATTGCTTTTTAGCAGTGCATTGGTCACTGAGCATTGGACTGCCTAAGCCTGTGACATTTTGAATTTAAGCATTGCCATTCCTTCGATAAAAAAGGTGGAAAATGAGATAAGCTGCAGTAATATTAGTGATATTTCAGTTCCAAATGAAGTGTGCCAGTATTATGGTGTCCTTATGAAACAGTCAAAAAAGGTATCTGGAACCTGCAGCCCATGGGTCCAATCTAGACTTCCAGGTCTCTGAATCTGGTCCATGGCACTCTCCCTTGGACACCCTTTTTCATCTCGCTGACTTGCCATCTCCTTAATCTGTCCTGTTCTGCTTCCTCCATAATTGCCTTGAGGTGACCACTGAGGAAGAAAGCAATCTAGATTGGGTTGATGAAGTAGAGTGCTTTCTCCCTGCTTCGCCAGTTCAGATGGATTAAATTTGGGCTGAAGAAGTCTCTCTGCAGCAAGTATGGAAGAAGATCAGGCTTGTGAAGCAGTGATAGTGCGCTCTGCTTTGTTACTGTGTATTGTCCCAGTTGCACACATGAAGCTTGGTAGCATGCTGCTATGCTAAGACTGGAACCCCAGGTGCACTTATCTGAGAATGAGCCATCTCACTGAAATTCTGAATAAATATGCAGGGGACCAGGCAATGTGGCTATTTCATGCTTAGGCAAACCATTATGGGAACAAGGTTTGAGTCCATGTAGAAATAGCTTCACCATTGACAGTTGCAATGGGTATGTTTGTGTGCAGAATTGGAGATAATAGCAGGACAGTAGTAGCTATTAGTTCCACATGTTGGCCATAAAAATTAATTTGTGATGAACAATCAGCTGCTTTTGTTCTGGTTTATGGTCCTTGTTTATAGTGATACACAAGTTTGTTCCATGCTTTTTAGTCAAATGATTAAATATATACCTAAAATATGTGGAATTCCCAGTTATCATGTACATATTTTCTCCCATTTTATTTATTTATAAAATGCTTATACTACTTGATATATTAATAATCTCTAAGCAGTTTACATAAAAAGTACAAACAATACTATTCAATAAAAGTATCTAAGAGCTAGGTAAAAAGACCCCTAAGTAGTATCAGTTGCCAGGATAGACCTCTAAGTTGTAGCAGTTGCCAGGATATTGTCCGATTCACCTCTGTATAGTTCCATCTTTATTTCAGACATTGTGGTAGACTGCAATGTTTAGCTGGTGAAATTGTGAGGTTTAGCTCCTGATAACATTGCAATGTTTAGCTGTTGAGTTATTGTGATGTTGAAAACCAGATATTGCCTAGCCCTTACACACATTGTGATTCACACTACATTGCCAGCTCAAATATTATGAAACAATTATCACAATGTGAACTTCAAAGTGGTTTTGGGTGATATAACGATGTATTGCCCAGCCCTAGTAATTAGTATCTCTGTCTTATGCTAGGGAGGGCATTCTAGAGATTGGCGGTTTTCATCAAGAAGATCTTTCACCTTACCATTAAGAGACAATCTGCGGGTTGTGGAATGACAAGCAGGGTCTCCTTGGAAGATCTTAGTGATCAGCTTGGTCTGTCCAAGGGAGAGGTGGTTTGCTATCAGAGGCAGCTCAGCTGGGTCTGCTGCACTAGGTGCCAAGCCTAGAGGGCGTCTTAGGGTGTAACAACTGTGACATAGTGAATGGAGCAGAAGAGAAGGCAAGAGATAGAGGCCCTTGAATTTCAACCTCACATAGGGCACTGCTAAAATCTGAAAGACCTAAGTCCATCCCTGCTGCTAGGTAACCTGGACTTAATATTGATATATTCACTCCAGATTCAATAATAAAATCCTAACCTTATGGTCTGTAGCCAAATCTCAATAAATAAACTATATAAAAATGTCTACAAGGGTTCAACAAGTACCTTCATAGCATGCCAGAGTTCATGGGCATCATATGATGCAGGCGGATACATCAGGCCAACCATAACTTCCTTGAAATGACCCGAGAGAGTTTCTTTCAGGTCCAGTAGTAAATCCTTGGGAAAAGAAAGTGATCTTTCGTTATCCTGCACATCTTGCATTTCTCAGTGCAAATTCATTTACTGTATATGAGTGATGAAATAATCATGTGTACTGTACAATCTTAGTAATAGTGAGGAGGCGTTCTGCAGCTTTGTCACACTGAACATACCAAGTAGAAAACCACTTACCCTCAACAACAACGGAAACTGTGAGAATGATCAGGAACATACCAGAGAGTAAATCCTTTTGAACTTAGTTCCGAGTAAAAATGCTTTGGATTGCAGTGAAAGCTGCCCAGTCTTGACCCAGTTACCTGGGGGTAAGCTCCACTGAATACAGTAAGGCTTCCTTCTGAGTAGACAGTGTCAGGCTCCATTTGCAAATCAACTCCACTTGTAAATAAAGGATTCAACACCCCCCATGTTTCCTAAGAAATGGTTGGCTGCTGAAGCATTGCAATTACAGAATTTAAAGTGGATTGGTGACCTTTTCCTTCAAAATTATAGGAAGGCCTTCACCGTTTCCTTCATCTAGTGCAAGGTTTTTCTTTTCAGTGTAAACAGGACTCCATTTTTGTACCTACATGCACCACTTTTAATTGTTCTCTGAGATGTGGAGGAAAAATGAAAAAAGGAATATTTCAGGATCAAATCAGAAACCTGAATGGCTTCTGTAATGAGAGGGCTGGCCCTGGAAAATCAGGATGCTTGGAGGGGATGGAATTTGTGTGTGTGTGTGTGTGTGTGTGTGTGTGTGTGTGTTAGCACTATTCCCAGAATGCCCAAGCCCCCATTAAAATTACTTCATGTGTAGCTGTGGATATTGTACAAAAAATTGGCATGATCAACTATATCAGTGCCTATCACCTGTTGGAAGGTTTGTTCTTCACACCCTGCTTGGTGCTGCCACAGCTGGTGTGATGACCATCTGTTAAAGGAGGCAGACACCCACACCCCTGGTGTAGTACAACTCTAGAAGGGCTCACTGTGTATACAGTCCTTTTATACCAGATATTTACCATTCTTTGCATGTATGGTACTTCTTTCAGCAGCTGATTCCTCACTCAGCCTCCATCCATAGATGAATCATATTTACTGGGTAGGAGCATATTGTCTTTCCTTCAATTTACCAGCCTTTATTTTGCTTTGATCACCAATTCAAGGTCTAGATTTTGATTGACTGAATCAAAACACAAGGGGATGTGTCCTCCAGTGCAACTTGGCTTTAAGTGTTTCTTTGTGAATTGTGTATGATTACTTTCATTACCAAGGGATCTAGCAATAAAGGGGTAATATAAACTATGAATGAAATATAGCACGGCTAATGCAAAAGCTGCTCTCAGAAGGCGAATAATTAAAGGTAACCACAGGCCCAGTGAATATAATTAACATAGCAGGCAGAGCAGCAATGAGGAAAGAGACATACAAATTAAAAATGAATTTATGATGAAGAAACAATATGTAATCTTTGCTGAATGCACATTAGATACATTTGACAGCCACTAAATCACATGTGGAATAGAAATTAATTCATTAAGACATTTGCTGCTGACAGCATGCCTGTAGGAATTGATTAATAATACAAATGGAGACTAATTAAAAATTACCCCCTGCAATTAGAACTAGGGTAAATGGAGAAGAGCAGTGAAAAATAAGACAAGACAACTAACTCTGAATTGTCATTATTAACATTTTCTAATTATCTCGGTTATGAGAAATAAGCATAGGGTAATTGTAAGAAGGCATCTCAGAGAAGTTTGTGCTTAGGTCTAAATGAGAGAACCAGTTTGGATGTTTTAACGGAAATATGTGTCTCAGTGGAACTATGTGCTTCAACTTGCATCTGTTTTTGCTTTTTAAAAATTCATTTTGCAATTTGCAATTCATTATAATGCCAGCGTTTTCAACTTCCTCATTAATGATCTTAGAACTGAAAGCAACAGCCTTATAGCTCTTTTAGCTTCTCTGCAACTGTTCTGAGCTGTGTCAGCCTTTGTTGGCTCAAGGGTGTCTTACATGGACCCATGGATATCAGTCAGCAGACAGGACAGCGATCCTGGTCCCTTGATGCAGTCATACAGTGCACTTCTTTCTCCCTGCACATAAAGACTATGAGATCATCTCATAGGTGGGTGTAGTGTGGCATCAGGATTTTCCCAGTCCTGATACCTGATACAACAGCTGATACTTGGATAAAGGATCTGGCTTGCACGAAATTTTATCTGACAATCACATTTGCCACGCACACACACATTTATTTAGGATACTTATAGCCTGCTTTATAGCCCTGCTGGAAATGGCTTACACAAATTCTCATGCTAATCATATCATCCACAGAAATGGCCCTATGATGGCAAGCTAATTCAAGTGGCATTTCCTGTCCTCCACTTTGGTGATCTTTGGCTGTCCTCTGAGGTAATATCTGAACAGAATATTAGGTACTATAGAACCATCAGAAGCATTATGGAGGAAAGGCTTTTCCTTTAAGTTTCCACACTTCTCATTTAAGGATATTTACCAGCAAATGTGATTGTTACATTAAGGATGAAGAGGCCCAGACAATCTGTTTTAGGTGAGAGTAAACCCTTTTTTGGAGGATTTCATTTAAAAAGAACATTTCCCGTGCTAAAACACCATGGCTGCCCACTGTCCAACCCAGCCCTAGATAAATCACATGATCTAATTCAGACATGGAACTGTTCTTACTGGTTTAGGGAACAAACCAGGGTTTTATGACATGTTTCCTTAAACCAAGGTTAATGCTAACCAGAAGGGTTTGGACATGTCCAAAACTCATTCACATAATGCCAAGCCATAGTTTAGCATCATGTCTCAACACACCCAATTAGCTCCTTCAGAAAGAGTTTGCAAGGGCCTCCCACCATGCTGCCATCCACTAAGTCTTGGATGTTGGATTTCAGGACAGACAAAAACAAGTACTTCTTCACACAGCGTGTAGTTGAACTATGGAATTCACATCGGCAACAGATACTGGTGGCCACCAACTTGGATGGTTTTTTAAGTGAATTGGACACATTTATGGAGGCTAAGGCTATGAATAGCTACTATCCAGGACTGCTGTACTCTGCCTCTACTGTTGGAGGCAGTAAGATTCTGAATACCAGTTGCTGAGAATTGTAGCTGGGGAGGGTATTGTTATGCTCAGGTTCTGCTTGTGTGCTTTCCATCAGTATCTGGTTGGCCATTGTGAAAACAGGATCTGGACTAGATGGTCCACTGGCCTGATCCAGCAGAGCTCTTCACATGTCCTAATGACCTCCACATGCTCATTCTTGGGGCCAAGGAGATCTGTAACTCAAAGGTGCTTTGCAGTAGTGTTTCTTGAGCAGTAGCATCCCATATTGCATGAGAAGATTTTTGGAAAGTTGTAAAAAAAAAAGTTGAAATAGCATCAGGTGTATGTTTGTATGCGCATTTTGTTCAAAGGGGAGAGAGAGAAGAGATTCCATTATTCTTATTCTTATTATTGCATTTATATCTCCATTTTTTAAAATCCAAGATGCTCAAAAAGTTCAAGGTGAAATGCATGGTTCCCTTCCTCATTTAATACCCACAATAACCCTGTGAGGTAGGTTAGGCTGAGAGGCAGTGACTGGCCCAAAGTCATCCACTGAGCTTCATTGCTGAAAGGGAACTTGAACACTTGTCTCTCCCAGGTCTTAGTCTGACAATCTAACCACTACAAGAACTCTGGTTCACCTAAACTGGTGCTTTTTATATTCTGGCATATAGACTTCATCCCAGTAGACATGACCCATGAAGGTAAGTCTTCTGCTGGATCAAAAACAAGACACGGTCAAAGTGATGGAGAAATGGAATAAGAACTTTATTAGCCCACAGACCTGAAGTTCCTATGATGACTGTGAAACAAATAGTTCTTCATTCACATGTAGCCAACAAATGAGATGGCAGTACTTCTGGATACACCAGAAAAATATATATAAAACCAGTAACAGTGATAGGAACAGGAGACTGAAAACTATAGTTGTGAACAAAATGATCAAAACCTACCCTGCCATACATGTTCCTGTAAGCCTCGGCAATCATGAGTCTCTGAGCATTGCAGCGCTGCGTTAGAATATTAATTAGAACGTCTTTATCACAATCTTTAAGAGAAAGAAAATATAATTATTAGATTAGGGAGCAGTTACTTGTTTATCATGCCAGTGTTATTGGCACTGGGCAGTGGTTGCTGTGCTTTATTCCACTGTGTTAATTGCATTTCCTGCAGAAAAAATATCAACAAATGAATATCCCATTGGCATTTACAATCCCCAGTGGTATTTAAAGTACTTATGTGCCTGTGACTTGCTGGTGTGCCACTGACAAATAGTTAGCATTATCAGATGCATTGCCATATCTCTCAAGGGCAATGGACATGAGCACATCAAGAGAATGGATAATGGCTTTCATGGAACAAGAGCTCGTCATTGCGTAAAGATTTATATCTGACCCTTGTGTTTACATCCTTCAGATACTGTTTAAATCTTTATTTTAATGTTACTGAGCTCCAGTTTTTATGGCTACTTACAATTGGATTACTGATTGAAACTACATATATATGTGTGCAAAGGGATTGTATAATAAATACAGGAGCTCTTTTATTTTCTGTTTCCTCCACAGTAGCCTCTGAGTAATGCTCCGTGCTTTGGGAACCCAATTCTAAAAAGAGAAGAAGAATGTGTATGGTTTCTGGCTTATGATTGGGGTTTAGTACTAAAATGATAACTTAAAAGCAGTGATTTAAAAACTGTTCTGGGCAATCCTGGAGGATGTCAGAACTTTTTCAGGAGTTTCAGTAGCTTATCGATAAGACAAGATCATTATGGACAGGCACATTTTCCTAGAAGACAGCTTGCCTACCACTAATGATCTGGAGTGTTGAGTATAGCGAGACAGGAGCTTGGAAAGCCTTTGTTTTCTCCTTGTTAAAGCTGGTGTTTTTTCTTTTTTAAAAAATACTTCTGAATATAATTAAGACTCTTTTGGGTTTTTTCCCCATAAAGCAGGGAGTGAAAAAAAGGATTCTCCTTTATTTTCTTAAAAAGTTTTCACAGTATTTTTTGTCTGCTGAATATACTCTTAATTCTCCCCAGTGATAATGCTGGACTGTATCTGTATCATCTGTATCTGTATCATCTCCCACCTTTCTTCCCAAAGGAGCCCAAACCACATCAACAACAAAATAGCTAAAACCTAAACACCTAAAAACCAGAGTTATAACATCCCCAAAGAGTTAAAAATACTATTTCCAGATCAGGGAACCCTTCACACACACACACACACACACACACACACACCAGGACCCCCATCTTATCAGGAATTGGTCTTAGTCAATTGGCCCTTATCTAGTCCATCACTGCTTCCAGTCACCTGTCCAACATTGTCACATCATCTCCTGATTCCGATGGAATGGAAAGATAGAGCTGCATGTTATCAGCAGACTGAGGACGCCATGCTCCAGCTATCTAGATGGCAGCTCCCAATGGTTTCATATAGATATTAGATAGCACAGGAGACAGAATGAACCCTTGTGGAACCCTACAACTCAAAAGTCATTGAGTTGAGTGACAATATCCTAGTACTTTCTGGTAGTGACCCACAGTGTCTCCAAATCCCACCTCCCTGCAAAACTCCAGAAGAATACCATGGCCAATGGTGTCAAAAGCTACTGAGAGGTCAAAGAGAACCAGTAGGGTCTTACTCCCCATCTCTCTCTCCTAGCAGAGATATCAATCAGGGCAGCCAAGGCTGTTTTGGTGCCAGACCTAGGCCTGAAACCGGTCTCAAATGGATCTAGATAATCGGATATATAACATTTGTTCTCTGCCCTCCCCTCCCACTGGCTTTTGGTGCTAGTATCTGTGCATCTATTAAATCTAAAGAAATTTCAGAATAAAGGATTGGTTCTGAATGTTAGTTAAGATATTTGCATACCCATTCCTTGTAGAGCTCCCCCGAGAACCTGGGCATCCATAACAGGGTCAAAAGTAGGAGCTGGGAAGATTGTCCCTTGAATCTGTTGAGAGAAAAGAAATGTGAGCCTTTTAATTTAATTTAATTTAATTTATTTATTTAAATTGACCTATTTTTTTTTAAAAAAGCAATGCCCTGGTGGTCAATGTAGGCCTAAACTAGAACTACATATCTTTGCATTTTAAATGTATGGAGGGGTCCAGATCAGGCCTCTTGAACCTGCAGTTTGGAAAGTAAAAAAGTTACTACTTTGAACACATGAATATTTTTAGGAGCACCTTAGAGACCAACTAAGTTTGTTCTGGGTATAAGCTTTCATGTGCACACTTCTTCAGATACACTGAAACAGCAGTCACCAGACCCTTATATATAGTGGCAGGGTGGGGTGGGGTTTTTCTCAGAAGGGTAGTAGGAGATGGCTACTCTCCTACTCTCCCATCTCCTACTACCCTTCTGAGAAAAAACCCACTTCACCCTCCCACTATATATCAGAGTCTGGAGCCAACTGACAATTCCCTGGTAAGATCCTCCCCCTATTGTGTGGACAGGTAGTCCCTCCCCCTACCTGGCTTGATCACCTTGGCAACGCCTCCCCAGGCGGGATTGGGCAACTGGCTGAGGTAGGCGGAGATCTCCAGGTATCCCACCTGGGGAAGGCCAAGCCAAGCCTGTGCTAGCTAATGGTGCTAATGGTGCTACATAGGGTCCAGGGGGCTGCACATGACCACGCAAAGGGCGCCCCCATTTAATGTGGGGAGCAGTCATTGCAAACTGCTCTAGGAACCTTTTTAGACTGAAGAATGGGATAAAAACTCCAGTGCTAATAATAGTGGCTCATGCCCTCCAACATTTCTCCTATGAAAATAGGGATGTCCCATTCCATCATAATAATTTTACTATTTATACCCCACACACTGGGTTGTCCCAGCCACTCTGGGCAGCTTCCAACATATATAAAAACACAATAATACATTAAACATTTTTTTAAAAAAATACCCCCTTCCCTATACAGTGGTACCTCAGGTTACATACACTTCAGGTTACAGACTCCGCTAACCCAGAAATAGTGCTTCAGGTTAAGAACTTTGCTTCAGGATGAGAACAGAAATTGTGCTCTGGCGGCGCGGCGGCAGCAGGAGGCCCCATTAGCTAAAGTGGTGCTTCAGGTTAAGAACAGTTTCAGATTAAGAACAGACCTCCGGAACGAATTAAGGACTTAACCTGAGGTACCACTGTACAGGATTGCCTTCAGACAGCTTGGGAGTCAAATAATTGCAAAAAAAACCCTCCAACATTTCTCCAATGAAAATAGAGACATCCTACCACACCCTCTAACATTTTCCTGATGAAAATAGGGACGGCCTAAGGAAAAGCGGGACATTCTGGGATCAAATCACAAATTGGAATGGCTTCTTTAAATCAGGGACGTCCCTGGTAAATAGGGACACTTGTAGAGTCTGATGGCTTAGATCCTCTGCAATACAAGTGGAAGGAAGTTGATACAAGGGTTGCCAATGCCCTTCTCCCTGCTCTCCAATCTCCTGCCTCCTCCAGAAAGCTCTCAGGAGGATTAAGCAAACCTCCTGAACAGCATGAGATGGGATTCAGGACACTGCTGGGAGAGAAGGAATGTCCCAAGCCATCTTGTATAAGCATACATTTTTAGCATAGATTTTCCTTTTGAAATAGGCACCGCCACTTTTTCTTATTGGGACAGAGCGGAAGTAGAGAGCTGCTTTGTCACACCTAGATTGTCTATGAGATAACCACTGGGTAAACAATTTTTGTCCCCACATTGAGGCTCAGTTGGTGTCTTTGTTATATATCTCTAGGCACCAGGCCAATTAAAAAAAAAATCCTTTCCTCCCAGGCCTTTGACTAATTAACAATCTATTACTTTTTAAATTGTGTGTGGGGGTTAATGTTTCTGTTTGCTATTGTGCTATGTGTTTTTATGTATAGTCGTACCTTGGTTCTCAAACGTAATCCATTCCAGAACTCTGTTCGACTTCCGAAAACGTTCAAAAACCAAGGTGTGGCTTCCGATTGACCGCACAAACTTCCTGCACTAAGTCGGAAGCTGTGGAAGCCACATCAGACATTTAGCTTCCAAAAAACGTTCGCAAACTGGAACACTCACTTCCGGGTTTGCAGCGTTTGGGAGCCAAAACATTTGAGCCACAATGCGTTTGAGAACCAAGGTACGGCTGTATTTATCTTGTAAACCAACCTGTGATATTCAGATGAAGGGTGATGTAGAAATATAATAAATAATAATAAAAACGAATAATAATGTGTAAACCTTGGAGTCCAGCTGGCTTTAAAGCTTTGAATTTAAGATAATTTAGTTTTTCTCTGTACATAAGTTGCCTGTGCAGCCATTTGAAAGAAAGAAACAAAACCACTCAACCCACTTGCATTTCAGCATCAGATTTAGAAAAGAATGCACATTCTTTCCTCTTTGGCACTTTCCTAATTCATTATCAACTTAGATTTGAAATTATTCTTCCAAAGCACCGCTTTGAAAATATTGATAGCAGAAATAAAGAATCCTTGGCAAGAAGAAAAAAATGTGTAAAAGTTTGAGAGAAATAAGACCTTAAATACCCTCTGGTGAATAAGATACCTCACCAGGCTCCGATATATTCAGCTAACACCTCCCCATAGATCAGAGTGAATTATTAGAAACAGCATTATACTTGTGCCATCGCTGGATTCCAGCAGCTTTGACACAGCAATCTCATCACAATAACTCCTTCTGCAGATTAGTCTAAAATATTTTTCAGGATGGGAGAGCACATCATAAATCAAAGTGAGGAAGAACCTGCAGAGTCGCTAAGGTTCCTCCTCCCCCAAAATAGAAAACATGTGTTTGCAACTGCTGTGAGACAGATCACAAAATACTGTGGATAATCGACTACCGAGCTACCCTAAATGCGGTCTACAAAAGAAGAAGAAATAGAAAAATTACCAATAATCACCCTCCTTCACACATACATGCTGAACTCTAAAATAGTTACTGTAAGAGCCTGTGCTTAAATCAATATTGTACAATTGAGCTTTTTCCCTCCACTGTTGCCACCAGCTTCTGGAAAACAGGAATAAAAAAGGATTGGTGGAACAAAAAGGTTGCCAGTGAGCTGTTGATTTCAGATAGAACAGAACAGGGCCAGTTCCGTATTTCCACTTATTTTGGGGATAGAAATGAAGGTTGTCCCACAGTGTCCTGATGCAGATAAAACATGGGTCACCACCTTTGCACCACCAAAGCCAAGGAAATGCATTACCAAAACTTTAGACAAATGAAGACCGATTTGTATAAAAGTTGCGTGTGCCATTTTAAAAATATGTATAGCTGTAGACTTACTAAAATTTAAATAGAAATGCAATATATTTCACCATAGTGGGAAAGACTGTGATCACTCAGTCTGTTGTACAGATGCAGCTGATGGCTAATAGAGGCTTGTCTTACGTAAAGTAGGCAACCTTTCCACCTTAAATAAAACACTAACAGTATCTTACCCATCTCTTACCCAAGTCAGGTGTGGGCTTGCACAATCCCTCCACTTCTTGCCCCTGCAATATCCCTCCTCACTTCCCTGGCTACTGTGAACTATGGTAGAGAACTGTGTCTGCACTGGCACCAAGGGTTAGAAAGCTGCTTTGCAAACCTAGTTAAACCGAATTAAAGCTGAACAGTATTAGAATTTACCTTGGTAAGCGCCACTGCAGATGAAATGCCACGTCTTAGCTACTACTAACCAGAGAAAGGGTGGGAGGTAAGAACTGGTACCAATCTCCTAACCATGGATAAAAAATTGAATGCATGTAATACTAGCAGAAAGCAAAAAATCAATCAGATTTTCATTCTGGTCTAGTTCAGTCACAAACATGATGTTGGTAAAGAAACATCCTATGCACATATTAGATTATCTGGTTACTTCCAATAATAATAATAATAATAATAATAATTTATTATTTATACCCCGCCCATCTGGCTGGGCCTCCCCAGCCACTCTGGACGGCTTCCAAAAAAATATTAAAATACTGTAATACATCAAACATTAAAAGCTTCCCTAAACAGGGCTGCCTTCAGATGTCTTCTAAAAGTCTGGTAGTTGTTGTTCTCTTTGACATCTGATGGGAGGGCATTCCTCAGGGTGGGCACCACTACCGAGATATGCACTGCTGGACTCTCAAGTTGAACCAGCCAACCTGTGCTGGTGGGTTCTTTTTCCTTCTGATGATTCTGTGGTACATAATATTCTGATGATTAAAAACTGCAATCTGAAGCATGAACAGCCTTCTGATAATATTTGTTTAGTAAGTCACTGTTCTGATAAAGAACAATGGAAGTTACGCTTTCATAGAGGGAATGTTTTACGGCTGGGAATTCATTTTAAAACAAACTCTGTTTCATACTTATAATTTAGATCTACTTTTGCAAACAGGTCCTTTTTGATCCACCTTTATTGCAAATTACCAACAACAACGAGCCAAGGGAAATTTCCACCCTCTGTGCAATACATATGGAAGACAATAAATAGTTCCTGCTTCTTAAATTATATATGGTTGCATCCAATGAAAGACCATCAACGTGGGATAAAACATCCCCTACAACTCTCTGGAAACCATTTGGATCCATTAAGTGGTGGGGGCGGACCATGTGAATCAGTCCCACCTCCCTGCAGAGGGGAAGGTTCACGATTATGAGAAAAGCTTCACCTGTTGACATTCTGCCTGTCTTATTACTGAGTTACCTGATTTACCTTTAGATCCTATACAGCAGTTTGTAACATTCTGAGCACTGATTTTTTATTTTTGCTGAGGATGAACCTGAAAGGAACTAATCTGTTTTGTAAAAGGACAAACTTGAACTGGAATTAGTTTCTTTTTGAACAGGATGATTGGGGACCGAGCATGTGGAGAAACGGAAGAGAGGGTGGAATGGAATATTCTGGAACATTCCGTAACTGATTGCCTGGAACCCTGAACAGGAGCATTCCACACTGCAATGATTTGCTACAGTTCTCACTTGTTTTCTTTTATTCTGCAGGAAATTGGATGTGATATACTTATTAATGCCAGTGCCCTGTTTGTGAAATATCAGTGTCTGCATTGTGGAGAAGGCTAGTGCATGGATGGTTAAGCCCAGCAACAGTGTGACAGTCTTTTTTGACCTTCCATTCCTAGTATTTCGTACATTTGATCTTGGACTCCACCCCATCCACATTCCAAAGACTAACCAAGCAATGGTTATTATGCTGTGGTGTGAAATGAATTACTTATGAAAGTAGGTTGAAATCTGATTCACTTGTTATAATGGAGCCTTTGTTTCAGCTGATACAACTTTACACATAAGCAATATCACACGTGAAGTTCTACATAGTTGCTTCTCTTCTATTTACTTCCCAGCTCACAAGTTACACAGCTCACATAATTAGATCATATGCAGAAGAGGTCTTGAGAGGAAATAAACAGCCAATTTAACAAGTGAGTCAGCCCCTAGCTGTCCTTCTGGACATAACTATGAAATCATTTGCTGTGTTTAAAAGGCAGCACTAAATCTAGTTAATCTAGACCCATAAGCAAAACATGTGAATTATTCAAATATTATTGAACTTGGGTAATCAAATATGAAAGAAATGGACTAGAAATGAAAATGACTAATACGGTGCTAGAAAAATAAGTGGGATCAGGGTACATTTCCTCAAGGAAATGGATTGTCAGTTAAATTACTGCAAATATTTTCCTTCAGTTGTATAGCTAGAGAAAGATCATTTGTGCCTATGAAAGTCTTCTATTGATTTTTCAGAGCAATTTGTGAGGCATACACTAAAAGCATTTTGAATGGATAAGAATAGTACTGGCCATATTAATAATGAACTCTATAAGAGACATCATTGTCCTCATACATGGATTAAGCAATAAATTGTCGAACGCTATTAATGTTATTCCGCATAGTACTGTTATTTATAGATGTCTTTTCAGTATAATTAAAGGTAATTAAGACCACAATCCTATACTCACTTACCTAGGCATAATCCCTGCTGACCCCCATGAACCATAATATGCAGATTGTCAGCTTTATTTTTATTTTTTAAAGAGCAAGTTTCTAGGAGTTATAGAACTTGAGATAGGAGAGAAAATGTATAAACCCCATTCTTCTCATTTTTATTAGAAATTCACCTGCTCCCCACTTTCAGTGTTTTACTTTGCCACCCCTAGAAAAATCCCTGTTCAACTCAGTGAGATTTACTTTTGAGTAGGCATTTATAGGATTGTGCTATAAATATTCATCATTAAACAAAGCAGGCTTTAATAAGTCACCAAATTATTCTGCTCCTAGATGGCAGATGGACTTCAGTCTGTCTGACCAATTTCCCACCAGCAAACTACACTTCTGATGCTTCTTGGGGAAAAAGAAGCAAAGGTTAATTTGAAAACTGTGGATAATTGTACTCACGTAGTTCCCGCTATACATCTTGGCACAAATCTCCAAGTAAAAAACTACTTGGATGGTGGGTTCAGAAAAGAGACTGAAAAAAGAGAAGAGAAGAAGCTCAAATGCTGTAAAGTTGTTCAGCTGATGAACTGGTAGGACCAGGGCAATCAAGCTGATTATATTCTCCAATCGCTTTAGGCTCCAAGGTAACCAGGTGGGAGGAGAACCTGATAATGTATGTACCTTGCTTTTGCAGAGTCACTGAGTGTACTTAGCCATTACTCAGATATGAATAAACAGCATTATTTCATAAAATAAATAACACCCTATCTCCTACTGTGTTGAATCAAGAGAGTGAATTTAAAAAATCACAGAACTAAGCGTTAAAACTACAGAAATACTGGTGTTAATGATTTACTTGAGCAGGGCCTTGTTCATACTTTCCTGTTTCTGACTCAATACCTGATTATGAATGAAATACAGAACATTTCACTCACTCACTCACTCACTCAATCAATCAATCAGTCTCCTTTATTAGCATAAAAAGTGCATCATATACATGGATTAGAACACAACACAGTTAATGAAACATAGGAGGAGATACTTTAGGATAAAACTGTCCAGACATCATGAGGTACGAAGATGGTTCTTAGAATCTATGGTGACGTAATTTCATAGCGTCACTCAAAAATCTTGTCACAGTCTCCACAACGTCATTACTACAATTGTTCAGCAGATAAGAAGCCCTGGAAGAGACAGTGTGATAAATCCCCTCCTTCAGTAAAGAGGCCGGATACTTATCATATATTTTTGCATAAAATGGACAATAAAATAAGACGTGTGTAATGGATGCGACCTGTTTTGTGCCAAAAGGGCAATATATTTCAGAGTATGGTCTTTTCGAGAATCTGCCTTTCAAAACTGCATATGGTAAGACATTAAATCTTGCGAGGGGTAGGTGGGGGTCGTAAAGCTGGTGTAAATATGGAGTGTCCTGGTCAAACGAGGGTGGAATTTCCAATCCCAATTGGGAAAAGGTTTTGTTGGCTGACTGCAAAGGGTTTGGAATTCACTTTCTAGGATTCTGCACCTGATTGTCTGGAATGCTTCCAATTGTGGGAGCATAAGCAGTGACTCGAGTGATAGGCCACAGGTTCTGATGTTGCTCTCAATGCAAGCTAGCCATTTTAGTGGTGGGATTCTGCCAGCACATGGAAAGTTAAAGAAGACGGATCGGACATGAAATGAAAGCGGAGGCAGAATTTTATAGTGGTGAGCCACGCTTTGGTTTCCAGCAGCCTTTGTTCAGTTTCCAGACAAATGGCTGCATATGGCACACAATTTGGCAGCTCCAGTATTTTGCGCAGAAATTTGGATTGGATGCGTTCCAATGATTGGTTAACTGCACCAATCCATTATAGAATGCCATACAGGAGTTTTAGGGCTACTTTGGTGTTAAAGACCTTTAATGCAACCGGGACAAACTGATTCCCTCTGTTAAAGAAGAAATGGGTAATAGCCATAGCTAGAGTATCCACTCTGTTAAGTGCAAGCTTACAGTGGTATTTCCAGGAAGCGTTATATTGGAAGTGGATGCCTAGGTATTTAAAGATTTTAACCTGTTCCAACGGGTTTCCACTGATCTCCCACCTATGAGGCTTCCAAGATCTTGAGAAAACAAGCACTTTAGAATTTGCGAAGTTCCGTTCCAGTCTGTTGGCTATGCAATATTTATGGCAGCGATGCAGGAGCTGCTTCATGCCATCCATTGTGTGAGACAAGATGAGTACATCATTGGCATATAGTAAGATGGGAACATGGATGGAGCTAAGCTTGTGTAAACAGGGTGCAAGGTTGTTTAAGAAAAGGTTGAATAAATACAGAGCTAAGACGCAACCCTGGTTTACCCCTTTGTTGGCAAGAATTTTGGGGCTTAGCCTGCCTGATTGAGAGCATCTCACCTGGCAGCACATGGAGCTGTGTAGTTTTCTGATGAGAAAGAGTAACCTTTCATTGATGTTCAATATGGACAGTTTGTTCCAGAGCAGGTTTCTCAGGATTGAATCAAAGGCTCCTTTTAGGTCCAGAAACGCTTTTTGATTAGGAGCACTAGAGTATATATTCACTAGAGTGGGAAAGTATGACACAGTGATCCAAGGTGGTTTTGCCCTGGCTAAAGCCTGCCTGTTCAGGGCCTGGTAATGCAAATTGGGATGTCCATTTCCCAGAAGGTGTTTGGCTTATTGGTCTGTAGTTGGACGGTAATGTGCGCTCTCCCTTCCGGTTAAGATGGTGCCTGAGGCAGCAGCTTCCAACAGATCCCTGACTTTATTAGCCAAGTTTTAATGTTTTAATTGCAGGCTCCTTGATTTATTATTTTATTTTATTTTATTATTTTACTGCCTTGTCATTGTGCCTGCCTGACGTTATCGCAGTCAACATCACCACTAACTGCATTCCAACAGCAGAGAAAGTGCCGGATGAGTCAGCACCTTGCAGATAAGGAACAATAGACAACACCATCAATCCTGAAAGCCTGTGTTGCTGGGGAAGAATTACAGCACCACACAGCATAAGCCACTGTAAGGGAAATTGGCCAACGTTATGAGGGGGCCACTGAAGGGTTATCATAGGGCAGAACAAACGAGTAAGAGAAACTGAGGACCATTTGCCCCCTGCGGCCAAACAGTCAAAGATTGGGGACTTCTTTCCTCCGTCAGACACTAGTATCTGTTCAAGTCCCCACCCATAACCGCTTTGTCATGTTATCTCACTGTAAAGGTAAAGGTAAAGGGACCCCTGACCATTAGATCCAGTCGTGACCGACTCTGGGGTTGCGGTACTCATCTCGCTTTATTGGCCGAGGGAGCCAGCGTACAGCTTCCGGGTCATGTGGCCAGCATGACTAAGCCGCTTCTGGCGAACCAGAGCAGCACACGGACACACTGTTTACCTTCCCGCTGGAGCGGTACCTATTTATCTACTTGCACTTTGATGTACTTTCGAACTGCTAGGTTGGGAGGAGCAGGCACTGAGCAACGGGAGCTCACCCCGTCACGGGGATTCGAACCACTGACCTTCTGATCGGCAAGCCCTAGGCTCTGCGGTTTAGACCACAGTGCCACCCGCATCCCATCTAAATGTATATACTGGTATGCAAACATTTAAAACTATAAGCTCTGTCTTCTATAGCTGAGCTTTATTATAACATATGTAGTGTGTGGTCTTAACTCTTGTCCTATACTCCATTATCTCACAATCTTTATTTACTGAATATACTGAACTTTATTTACTGAATATACTGAATTTACTGAATATAAAAATCCACCTTGCAGTCAAATCTTCTTGCTAATTTTGGGGAAAGTTGAGAGTGAAGATACACAGTTAAAATGTGTTGTGTTGCATTCCAAGGTCAGAGAATGTTTGTTAAACTGGTTCCACCACACTTAAAATGTGCTTAAGTTTTCACTCTTAAGAACTTGTATCTAAATCCCAGTTTTTTTGTTCATACAGTTCTTGTGGAATGGTGTACTTTGTGGGTCTCTGTCAGCACAGGAATCCTTAGGAGTGGACTATTAGAAATGCTAATGATTTATTTTTTGGTAAAAACATACTACAAAGCAGCAGCATGGCTTCAGACAGACAAATCTACACTTCCAGAACAAATGAGCTCAACCAGACTTATAATCAGGCTCTGGCACTGCAGAAAACATTGATAAGGACATGTTAAGATCAAACCTATTTACAAAAAATCTGATTACCATATGAAACAGGGTACCTAAGAAAACTGAGTCTGAAACTTTCACCACTTACAGTTGCAACATATAATAAGGAAATAGAACCAAAACCCTTTTTAGGTTATCTTCAACAATGGCAGGAAAATGGGATTAATTTAAGTATAGACTCTCTTTCAAGGATAACATTTGAAATTGTGTACTGAAATTGATATGGGAGGTCAACATCTGCAATCTTTTTCAGTATTTACAAATGAGACACATAGGTGACTATTTAGTATCAAAGTATGGTTTGTTAAGGGAAAGTACTGACCTTGAAAACTTGGTTATCTTAAAAGTCGAAACCAACAGTTACCAAATGGATTGAATGGTATAATTATTTATGAGTAGCATTGCTTCTAGCCATCTATGCAGAAGTGAACAGGAAAAAGAGCTAAGGCATGAGATTCCTTTAGAGACTGGTTGTTTCACAGCAAACCCTAAGTGCTAACCTCAAAGAAAGCTTTTATACATTTCCTTTCTACTGATGTTTGACACCTGCACAATTGAATCAAATATATGCCAAAGTAAATAATAAAAGCTGAAAATATGGAGGGACGACTGCTGATATGCTCAATATATTTTGGTCTTGCCCTAGAATAAAGACCATCTGGTTGGTTACACTAAATGAAATTAGCACCGTAACAGGTTATTAGTTTACATATGTTAAAGATTTATTTTTACTTGATGATAGAGAGACAGAGGTCTTGGAAGGCTGCATTTGGTCCATAGGACTGCAGTTCCCCACCACTGCTTTAGATATTGCTGGACTACAACTCATCCTTGAATATTGGCCATGTTGTTCAGGGCTGATAGCAGCAAGAGTTCAACAGCATTTTATCAGTAAGTTTGATGTAAATTTTATATTTTATGTAAACAGACACATCTGGAGAGCTACAGTTTCCTCATCCCTGCTTTGGAGCTCCTTTCTTTGACTGCAGCTTACAGCACATATAGAAGAAGAAGAAGAAGAAGAAGAAGAGGAGTTTGGATTTGATATCCTGCCTTTCACTCCCCTTCAGGAGTCTCAAAGCGGCTAACATTCTTCTTTCCCTTCCTCCCCCACAACAAACAATCTGTGTTCATACACATGTATGAAGCAACTATTATGTTTTTATATGTGCTGTAAGCTGCCCAGAGTGGCTGGGGAAACCGAACCAGATTGGCAGGGTATAAAGAATATTATTATTATTATTATTATTATTATTATTATGCTTCTCATGTGAAATGCTGGTGGTGTGGTTAGTTAAAAGCTTCTGTAGCACATGAACAAAGGCACTTCTTAGTAATGAGAAGTTTTGTTTCCTCTCTCTTGATAATGCCAGAGAACAACCCCCTCCACACATCTAATGAAAGTACATAATGATCGTGAAGACTGAGAACATGGCAGCAGTA